TGCCATCCCTTCATCAGCTCATCATAAACAAACAGTAGTCAAGATATTTTAGAATTTAGATGAGATTAAAAAAAACAGGGTTTTTTATGTGAAGAAAAATAGCATTAAAATCTACGGTACAGGTGTTTGCTCCACCCCTTTGCCTTAAGCATGGTTGGTTTTGGGTCTATTCAAGATTACAACCATTTCTCCATGCTGTATTCCAATACTAAGGGAAATATACTAGAAACAGATGATAGCACCCAAAAATGCTGAGTAAGATTCTTATCATCATGAGGATAAGAGAAAACAAAAGAAAGAAAGAAAGAAAAGAAGGATGTAGCTTCACGTGATAAAAGTTTCTTCGTTGCCAGAATCATAGAGGATTGTAGCTCACATCCTCAAATAAATTTGATGCAACTGTCCCTGGCTTTTATCTTATATTTAGCTTCTTGGACTCAAATAGTAGCCAGAGTTCAGCATTAAATTTGAAAAGAATCGTAAAAGACCCAGGATGGCACATTTTACAATAATAAAAAATAAATATTATATTACATTATACATTTAATAAGTTAAAAAAAGATCACCAAACAAAACTAATAATATATTGTTAAACAAGCATGGGATAAGGTTAAACAAGTACCTGTGGCAATCATGATCCCTAGAGTGTTCCCTAGACCTTGAACATGACCTGTGGTGACTTCTAGAATCATAAGTTCGAGAGCGCTCATAATCCTTATCACGATCTCGATCACTATACCTGTCACAATCTCTGCTCCTACGATCATAATCCCTGCCTCAGTCACGGCTATTTCCTCGGTCTCGGTCCCGACTTGATTCTCTCTCATGATCTCTGCTTCTTTCTTTCGATCTATACACCACCAATAAAAAGGATATCACAACACCCCACTCACCACCCAATGGTTTACCAAAAGGAAAAAGGAAAAGAAACCACGTGAGGATTACCTCTTGTCATCATACGAGTCAAGTTTGCGACTCTTGTTTCTCTCTTCCTGAGAAAACAATAATCACCATATACTACTGAATGCTTCTTTCGAAAAGTTAAATGCCACTTCAATTTAGCTAAATATAACATGCCATAAGGACCATCAGGAAAGAATTCTAATAGTGGTAGGCATAATTAGTAGGCAACTTACCCTGACCAAATCAGGCGTTCATCAGATTTATTGTCATAGATTTTAAACATATGAAAAGGTCATTTTTTTTCTCGCATTACTTACAACAAATTCCTTTCTTGTACTTCTCTCCTATTTGATTTCATGTTTCCTTTTTTTTTTTTTTCATTCTTTCAGCCAAAAAAACTAATCTATCAAAATTGGTCGAGCATGAAGACAATTCATATTTGATACATTTTAAGCCCAATATGCACAGACAAGGTAGAAAATACTGTTTTAAAGTCCAGCATCTACAAACAATCAAAATAAATTGAAAAATGGGAGATATTATTCTTGTCTGGGGTCAGAAAAACTCACAAATGATACTAATTGAAAATCAGTATAGAAGAATGAGAAATATTATACCACCACCTGACCAACATATTCACAATACAAGCTTAAGGGGATCCAGAAAAGATGAATTAATTTGCTGTTCTACCAGAATCCATTAAGTAACAGCGTTCAAATAAAGTTCTGATTATTTTAAAAAATAATAATAATAGACATAGTAAGTGGATGGTTCTAGCAATTTATACAACCAACACCTTGGATGCCAGGCACTATCCCTAGCCTTATGTAACACTTAAAGCAGAGCCACCATAGACAGTCAGCATATGCTAAGCATGTAAATCATCTTACCTGAAGTTTTACTAATTTATCACAGATTTGCATATAGCCTAAATGAAGTTTGCCTCCAAAATGATCAGGTAAACATGGACCACTGAAAGGAACAAGAAAAATCAAATCACTTTGACCTAGAAACTTAAAAAAAGCAAATAACATACATATTGCAGTAGCATGCATTATAGATTATACAGTTTCCCAAATATTTATTATCTAACAATTGCATGATCTACAAGTACAAAAAGAGAAAAAGACACACATTATGTAGCTGCAAAAGTTATCCTCGTAAAACCGGGCCCAAAGCCTGCTTGTGACAAGGAGGTATAATAGCCAGGTCAAAAGCTGAAGCACTTGAAACCTCAAACACTAACTTTTTGAAGCCCTTAGAAAGAAGATAAAAGACTATTATCAAGAAGTAGAAGATAATAAAATGTAACTGTCATAAACACTCAAAAATGCTCCACAAATATCACAAACACATAGCTTTTGATCAGTCTGAAAAAAAAATTGGATCAAAAAGATTAGAGCAGATAGAATATTAGCATATAAATGGACTAAAAGAAAATTTAACTAAAATCAATTAAGACAGGGGACTATTCATCCATTAATTATGCAAATTGAATTCATAATTTCCCAATAAGGTCCAAGTGTGTCTAAGTTTTCTTATCTAGTTTTTATCATAATTTTCCTTCTGTGAAACTGAAAGAAAAAAAAACAGAACTCATAATGCGAACATCAGCAGCAGTATACTTTGAGGAATTCAGAACAGGCTCCTGTCTAGCAAAGTGCTGAACAAATGGAAAAACAATTATCCACAAATAAGGCATACCAAGGAGAAGGATATGGTGCAAGCTAATAAAAATTAATTTACAGAAATAACACTAGTAAATTCAGAAATTAAAACCTTCTTGAGTGTTTCAGCCTCTTCTAGCGCTTTTTGTGCCTTGTCTACCATCCCTTCCTCACCTAAACAACAATAAGAGAGCAAGAGAGACTATTAACAAAACACAGATAAGTACATCATGTATTCTTGAAAACTTTGTAGAACACAATTCAATAAAACACAGATAAGTACAGTTTTCAAACAAATAAAATAGATTTCCAAATAACTAAAATCCAAACCCCAAGGAACCTTTTCTTAGTACAACTGCCAGCCCTTTTCATAAATGTCAATCAGAAAGACTATTGATTTTGGGCTAACATTATGGACAAGAAGCCATTTCATTCAAGAGTAAGTCTTCACTTTATTGATTTATTAGTTTCATTATCATTTCATCTTTATCATTCAGAGATATTTGGGTAACTAAATTTTTTTAATAGCCTTTCTGTATATTTTAAATGAAACCACCCTAAAAGCATTGTTAATGTAAGCCACTGAGTGTTAATTGAAAAAACAGTAAAGCACTGAGTCTTCATCAACCATTGACAACTGTTTTGGAAGGGGAGGGAAAACAAATTTTCTGACATTGACATTTTTTTATAGGAAAAAACGTAAAAGCACAAACAGCAAGGAACATAAATTGGCATAATAAATACCTCAAACAACTTAAGGATTACTGATATTCCATTTGCATGAATTTAAAGACAATGGAGCATTCAAAAAATGTTATTTAAGACATGGTACCTAATAGATATCTATTGTCGAGAACTCAAGATGTTTATGTTATTTAACACATGCTACCTAATAGATATCTATCATCAAGAACTCAAGATGTTTTTCTCCCTATTTTACATACATAAAAAATGGAGTTCAGGTAACCTGAGTCTTATCAAGATCCTCAGCTTTCTTCAGCTTCTCATTTATCATTTCCTGGGTCCGAGGATCAGGTGCAAGCACAGGCAATGGTGCTAAAGATAGAGGGTTTGGCAATGGTTGGGGCAAAGATGCCTAATCTTTATTGAATGCATCCAAAAACGGTGTTGACTATAACAAGAAACAGAAACATCACATATACCAAGAGACTAAATGTTATACAAGAATCAAATTATGAGGAACTTACTACACAGTCAATATCAGAAATCCTGATGAATAAATCAGTACTTTCAGAGACCCATTTCCAATCCTACATCTAAAGGAGCTATCAAGTACCTGTTTATCTGCTCTTTTAGCACTAAGCTCTTCTGCTTCTTCTAGAGCTCATACCTGTTTAATGCCGTAGCATGATTTTCTTTATGACACCTCACAGGTAAGCAGGATAAGCAATTGAAAGTAAACAGAAACAGCATCCCTATCATTTGAATTTATCTCTTACAAATATACCCATGACAAAATAGAAAACTTATATCAATGACCCTTGTTCTAATTTATACAAATAATAGGTTACCAAACTAACCCAAAATAGCTAATAATAACATACTTATGCTATTCATGCACAACTGCCACTTCTTTTCTCTTGTTCTTTATATTTCATTAAAAACCATTTTCAAAATGCATCGACTAGCAGTCTTCATAAATACATGTAACAAAAGCTTACCACTAATTCAGCAACTTTAAAGTGTTGCCGCACATAAAGAAAAAAATTTAAAAAAAAAAAAAAGAAGAGAAGAAGGAATCAATCAGGAGAATACCGTTAATTGGAAGAACTCGTGAGGACAAAGGCCAGACAAGTAGAGGCGGCACACATCGCGATCGTAGTACATCCAATTCACCTCCCTTATGTCGCCATTACGGTACCCATCAGCACATCGAGCTGCGTCTGAAGTGTTGCCGCACTTCCTAAAATGACTTGGTATTGATACTTATGGTTACAGAGTGGTCATGAATCTTAAAAGTGCAATGCTCATGGTTCTAAAATTTGAGATTAAGGAAATTGTGGCTCATGATCCTTTCTTGTGAAATTTGATAGTGAGTTGGTCTATCATACATGCTTCAATCTTCCCTACCGTCTACATTTGTTGAATAAAAGTACATCTCCCTCCGTCTCTTGTATACGTAGAGTCATATTGGGATGTTTTCTTAATTAATTCCTTACTTACCCATTGTATGGCGCCCAAAACGTTACCTCATTTCCTAAAACTGATACATATAACTTTTGTCCATTTGCAAATTATGGTGTTCGATTTATTCCATTACAGCAGTTCAGTTTGGCTTTATCATTATTACAGGCACAGTATATTTGGTTCTCTTGTTACTTGTTTCGTATTCAATCTTGCTTTTTTGCTTTTCCAAATTCCGTCAATTATCAAATACTAGTTGTAAAAAATCATTCCCAAATTTTGTTGGATTATTAGCCTAGGAAGAGAAATTAAATTACTAGACAAATTAAGAAAAAATTAAATGTGACTTGCCACTAAACATGTGCATTTTATAAGTAGATTTTGTTTTGTTTTGTTTTGTTCTGTTCTGTTCTTTTTTTTTTTTCATCTTAAGTAGAGTTCTGCTTTGTAGAATAAAAATATTGAGCAAAGGTATTATATCCTGAGACCTTAAGCATGATTAAAGAAAAATGGTCTTTTTTTTTTTTGTGAGAAGTAATAAAACAATAATAAAATTTTATTATTTGACGTTTGCTAAACACCTACACCTTAAGCATGATCATGGGCCCATGCAAGATTGATTAGTATTTTTTAAACCTTAATTGAATATTTGTAATTATTTGTTTGTTTACGGTACGTATTCCAAAACTAATGAGTAAAACAGATGATGGCATTCAAAATATATTATCATCTTGTAAAATTCTAAGTTTTACACAGATATGTTTATAAAATATTTGAAAAATCAAGCATTTTTAAAATTTAATCTCAACTTTTATAAACTTTGTCTTTGTTTTTTTTTTTAAATTGATAAGTTTGCCTAGTTTAAGATGGGTAAAAAATGAGTAATGATAGGGAGGTTGAAAATTTAGGATCAAATTTTGAGATCTTCATCGGATGAATTAATGTATATAATATTACGAGTCTTAAAAAAAAGTAAAAGTATCAATCATTAAATAATATAAAATTTATTTTTTAAAATTTTAAATGACAAAACTTTTACCATATCATTAATTTTAAATTTTGGTACCTTATATCATTATTAATAAAGATTCATATGGGCCAAATCAGAAATTCTTGGCCTAAATATTAGTTGTTTTGTACTTCACAAGATTTCTCTTTTATCTAATGTAGAATGCTTTACCTAGTTAGGCCACACAGGCACACCCCCTACTTAGCTCTTGTGGGAAAACTTCGCCAGTGGTAGCTCACAAGGAACGTACAATGCATGCCTATTGGACTTAAACCCCAAACCCAAAAGCTTAAGCTGGTAGGACAGAGAATTGGATTCACATGTCACTGGCTGGCCTTAAACCTCTTCTATAACTTTATCAAATGCATCATATGATTACTATCAAATAAAATAGGTAAGGATGTCCTAATTTTCTTTTTTCCCATATATATATATAAAAGAAGAATCCATTCATATACAAATTTTATACATTATATTTACGTAAAATCTTGACTATTCATCTCTTTATTTTCAATAATTGAGATTTGTAATGATTTTTTAAATAAAAAAGACAATTATCTTAAATAAATGTAAATAAGTCTCAACCATTAAAAGTAAAGAGATGAATGGTTAATTGTTTATATAAATATAATACATAAAACTAGTATACACGAATCCCTACTTATATACATACATACATATTTTCCACAATAGCTTCATCCTTGGTGGTTGTGTTGTTCCCTAATAAGCTGGATTCAAATTATGCTGTTAGGTTGCACAAAAGATTACTGCAATTCCCAAAACTACTCATTTTAAATTTCTCAATTCATGTGTGACTTGTGTTATGGTGTTTTGCTGCTGTGGGTAAA